TGTAATATGAATAAAGAATAAAACATTATTTTTACACTAGCTCCATTCGATTATTTACAAAAATAAAGATTGTGTAGCTATAACTTGACACGGTAATTCCATAAATGGAATTTACAAAACTGATTAATCTGCCCTCTCACTGTCAGCAGAATGATTAGATTCTTGATCAGAATTGTCAGCTTCATTGGTAAAAGTGTTCATAGCAGATCCACACTCAGAAGATTCACCATCACCAACTGGAACTTTGAATAATGATTCGAGTTCTCTCCAGGGATCTTCTACCATTGATGGGTGGAAATAATCTGAAATATCACACTGATTTGGAGCTAATCTGGGACCCTGAAACAAATACCACACTATGTTGACATACCGATTCATATAAACCAACAAAAAGTTCAGTTACCGGCTTAAGAAAAGATGTGTACTACTCACCTTATGCCTGTTGCCCCTCTGGCCAAAACCACCGTCCGGAAAGGGTCCTCCCCGACGTTGTTGGTAAGGTTGATGAGAGTTTCTAAAATTTGATCCTCTATTATTCCATCTACCTCTGCCACGATACGGCTGATTAGGTCCCTCTCTTTCCATAAATGACTGATGACTTCTCTGAGTCCCAGAGATTCGTTGCATTTGATGTGGTGGGCGACGCCCTCGATGCCATGCATTACCGTGCGAAGGGCTTGGAGTACTGTCAGAACCGAAGGAAAGAAAATCTTCTCCAGAAGAGTTCCCATAACCTCCTCTTTGCCATTGGTCTCCCATTTTGTCAAAAGCGAAATAGCTCCAGAGTAAAATTACTTGTTATACCCAAGTGAATAGTTCAAAAATTTTAAATGAATAGAAACTGGGAGAAGGGCTCAAAGCAACAAGACCAGGAGGCCATAAGCGACCAATTTTGAGCAAGACTTGTTTACTTGTTTACAAACCACCATAGCATGGGTCGTCTGCTAGCCCACAACTTTCAGCGGCTTCCGCTAGGTGGCAGTACAGTGCAGTCACGCAACCCAGCGACATTTTTTAAAAATGCAGATGGATATAGAACGTATTGAGCGTCTCTCAGAAAAATGTAGTGGTTTAAGCCTTAAATCTACGCGAACAAAGCTCCAACAAAGTCACAATCTGAGGAATGTAGATGTTGCTGATGAGGCGAGCAGCCCTAAACTGCGCGCCAAAACCGAATGCCAGTCACGTGGGCATTGTCAGTCAACTTTTGGTGTTCGGCTCGACTTCGGAAGCCGTCGGGATTCACTCGGCTCTCGCGGGGTATCTTTCGCGCGAGCCGCAAGCCCGACGCGCGAGCCCTGTTGTTCTTCTCCGTTTCAAGGTGGTGTTGATTCAGGACCTGGAAGTGCTGTTTTTCGGTGTCTGATTTGCAGTAAATATTTTGTCCTGGTGCAAAACAAAAACGGATAAACTGGAGAAGCCTACGATGAAGCTTGCCACAGCCAACATGCAGCTGCGGGCTGATATTCGCAGCGTGCAATCACAGCTTAAATCAGCTATACAGAACCATCAGGTGAATTTTAGGCGAGGTTTTGTTTTGCTTCCCTTTGTTTTCATCCTCCTGTTTGAATCAGTCGAACAATCCTATGCAACAAAAGGGAATTCCCTCTTTCTATTGATATATTGCATTGTACCCCGGACGTTCTCTTCATTTCGCTCTTCTAATTGTAGCGACAGTGTCAAGGTTAAGAACGTCGTCTGAAGATGGACTTCGTCATTTAAATTTTTGGAAGCCTCCTATTTTCGGTGAACTGTTTTATTTCTCACCATCATTGTTCAAATGTACGAATAAACTATCATTAAATTTAGCTCGGATAATGTTACAATTGTTAACAATGATGGAATCAGTCATCATCCCTTTCAGTTACAGGTTCCTACAAAGTTCTTCTGTTGTACTTTAGATTGTCATTTCATACTAACATTTTCATTAAGTCAATCAAGTTTGGGTTTTAGAGTGTCGCCTATTGTTTTATAATAAATTAGGAGTAATTAGGGGTAATCATTATATGTAAGCTTTCAAGTGTGTTACTAATTTTGTTTTAAATATTAAAATTTCTTCTTTACAGATGATTGTGTTTAAGCTGAAGGATCGTCCTGTAGTAAGTTCCCATGAAGCGGTATTGATATAGTGTCAATATCTGTCTCCCTCCTCATCACATCTAATTCACCTTTCTTTGCAGTCTATTAAATTGAGGGTCCAGATGTGCAATGTCCAACGCCACATTGTTAGTTTGGGAGAAAAGCAGGTTAGATAAACATAAGATAAAATAATTGTTTCTCTAGTTTTTTGTGTATTCTGGTTTCTAAAATGTTTTCAATTTCTCCTTTTTTTCAGAAAAAACTTCTTACTCAGTTACGGAAGGAATTGGAAATTACTGGAGGTGTGATAAAAACAGAACAAAAACCTTATGTTCAGCCCCTTCAAAGCTTTCAACCAAATCCAATGAATCAATTAGTATCATCAAAACCTATTTCAATCAAAAAGGAGCCCGATTTCAAATCTGAAGGCTCTGATGCAAGTGATAATCCTGCAGTCCCTGTGAAGTCTGAAGTGGTTCCTCACACTTCTAGAAGGAAGTCAAAACTTGTTGCTACTCCGGACTTGCCTAATATTAATGGCCGTAGTGCTACCCCATCTACATCTCCATCTCAAAAAGAAAATACACCATCAAGCACTCCCTCCTCATCGCCAACACATTCAATGAATGTTATAAAATCACAGAAGCAAAGGTAGTTTACCCACCAAATTTATTCCATTTATAATTATCAATCTCTCTCCTGCCTTCTTTTAACAAACCTTGATTTTCACAGCTCAAATAAGACTCCCAAACGTGAAAACACTCAGCCTTCAACAACTTCAGATGATTCACAGGACACTTATATTAACCTTCCTGTTGATCCAGAACAGCGGAAAAAGTTACAGTTTATGACTGCTTTAAGTAAGTAATTTTGTGTTTTAGTCATAAATATGCAGCATTTTATTGTTTTTGCTAAATCTTTAAAGCTGCACTGTTGTATTTTTGTCACAGGTTTAGTAACACGAGAAGTCTTAACTGAACTACAAAACCGCAGGACTGAGAGGAAACGTCGCAGCACTGCTAACCCCCAATTTTATTATGGAACTGGTCCAGATTTGGTAAAACTTCAGTTGCTTGATCACATTGCTTAATTGTAAATTGTGAAGATTTTAATTATCTAATTTCTACTTGCAGAAACGAAAGAGACCATTGTACCTTGCCAATACTGCTGTTGGAATAGTACCTATAATTCACCCCGCAAAAACTTTAGATCAACAAAAACCTCAGTCATGTTATTCGTGCGCTTCTCTCAATGGTATGATTTTTCTACAACATTCATGAAATATCAATGGTTGTTTTTTTTATTCAACCAAATCAAAATTGTATTTCTGTGCAGGTGTTATGTGCCAATGCTCTTCATGCCACAAAGCATTCCACTGGCACTGTGTTTTTGATCCAGCTGTTCCTATTGCTTCAGGAGAAGCACTGAAATGCCGGACATGTCTTTCCACCTCACAAACAAATGGACAAGCATAAAGTTTTGTCACTTCAAATATTTGTAGCAAGGTGGCACAATTTGAATCTAATGGAGGTAAGGAGTTCTTAGAGTCCTAAAGTCTTACTATAGAACTTCAAAGGATCTTACCCATGCCTTCTTGTGTAGATTTTCTTGTAACTGATTTCTTTATTAGGCTGTCAGAGATTTCATTTTAATTGGATTAGAAGAGTGATGCTCAAGGTATCTTTTTCCTCTATTGGTGTAAAACAAATGGTATTTCAAAGTATTCTCTTCACTTTGTTTTCAAAGGTTTTCATTCTCTGTGACGTTTGAGGGTGATGCTGTTGTGCTTTTATGGCCTAATTTCTTTTTTCTTTTTTTGTTTTTGTTTTTTGAGACTCAGCTACATATAATTAATGGTATTTTACTCTTTTCCCAATGGAAACTGCTGTTGTGATATAGTTTTAGGAAGGTTAGTGAATGATTGCGTGTTATCTAGATTGAAGGATGACTGAGTCATGTAGTCATATAAATTTGATTTACTGGTCTTTGATTTCTACCAATGAAACTATTGTAAACTATTGGCTTAAACTATTGAGTTGTTATTGGGATTTGCTGATGGCAGATTTAATGTGAATAGATTTCTGTTTTGACCAGTACCTAATCTTAAAGTTTTGGTATAATCAATCCAGACTTCAAAGCCAATGCTTCCAGTTGCAGTGATATACTTGTGGTATTCATCTTGTTTATTGAGTTTCATTGTTGCACCTTCATAGTCGATGAACTGATCCTGCTCATTTTTCATCTGACAAGTTTTAATTTATTTTTCATGTAGGTAGAATTTTATGCCCTAAGTTAAGAGTGTGTAAATCAGAACAACTATGATCCTCATACTGCAAGGCAAACTATTTTAGGAAACGATTTTTTGTCTGTCTGATGACTCTACTGCAAATCTGAATTTGGGAGTCCAATTGTCCAGAGAGGAGTGCATTGTACATGTTACTTTTCAGTTTCATGTGAGCTGCGTATCTCAAATTCTGTGATTGTTATTATTACAATTTTTCATTTTCTCTATTTGTTCGTAGTTGTGACTTAATTATGTCACAAATCTTGGTTGGTGTGGTGTTCTTTCTTCTCTTGACCATTTTGTACAAATGGTATTTCCGTGTGCATCATTATGTTCAATGCTTTTACATTAATCATTTCTGAAAGGAGAGAAATTTAACAATCTGTGTTTTAAGTAATGTTAAAATTTTGGGAAAATTATGATAAATAATTTGGTAGGTTGTAGAATGGGGCTGATAATTAATGTACCCCAGTCACAAATTGATACCTCACTCCAACTTACTGGACTGAACTGCTTTGTGGAAGCACAAGAGCACTTAAATAATGTCTCAATTACATGTTGTATGAATTCTGCCCCCAGTATTCAAACTACTGTGTCCTTGTCATCTGCACAATTCGTGTCTCTTGCTGTATTTCAAATTGATTATAGATTTGTGCCAAAGGTGATTTCTTCAGCTTGCTGATTTTGGTTTTTGATTTTCATTGTCGCATTTGTATGTTTTTGCCTGAAGACTTTCTGGTTATAGCAACAGCTGACAATCTGGTTATGTATGTGTGTTTTAATAATGTCTTACAGCTTGGTGTGTTACAATTTCAAGTCTAAATTTACTCCTAGAGAAAGCTTAATTTTATTTTTCTGATTTTACTCACCTAAAGAATAATATCTCCGTTTTTATTTAAAGCATTATTCAGTTCTTGACAAGAAAATTTATGTTTTTCTTCCTGTTGTTTCAATAAATTCAAATCTCCAAGATTTGGAAATAAAATTCGCTGTGTTCTCGTTGTGTGCTACCGTCATCTGTCTGGCAAAAAGTCTCGGGGACACGGGGTATCTCTCATCACTCAGCTCTTGCGAGCTGGTCTCGAGCTGGGCGTATCGCTTCCACCGACTTCTCTGCCTACCCTTCCTCTCGCGTTCGTCCCCGTTTCTCGACCAATCTGGCGGAAGAGGGCCGTCGCAGATCCTATTCGACCACACACTGCGACAGTGCTCGACAACTTCTCTCGTGTTGATCCCCTCTCTCATGATACTCCGATGCGAGGGGATTTTCGTGAACCTCTTGCTCATCATTTGAGCTCACAGTCTGGTTGGACTGGGGGAAAAGGGGAAAAGTGCCACCTGTGAAGAGCCGTGACACACCAGTGGAACAGCTGTCATTCATACTCCAGGTGCCCCCTAGTTGTTGGGCGCTAACGAGTTCGTTACCTCCAGCTCGCTGTCAGAGAGCTGCGCGACGTGTACTTCTTCTGTAGAACTTAGAGGTAGGCGGTATGGGCGCCTGCGAACTGCGGCTGAGCACGTCTGCGCAGCTTTGTTGTCGGATGGGCTGCCTACTCACACGGCGCGCGCACCGCGGCGGCTGCGCCCCGGGTAGGCCCCGGGGGCGTGGGTGTAGGCTGGAGGGGGAGGCGCGGCCACCCTCTGCGCGAGCCGCTCCGCTCCCCTCCCCGGCGCCGCGGCGCTCTCTGGACCAGGGCGAGGCGCCGCCGCCGCCGCCGCGGCCGCTGCCGCCATTTGTGCGTCGCGACGCTCGTCCGTCCAGCCTCCCGCCGCAGCCAATGGCCGCGACTTTCAGAGTCAAGATGGCGCCGTGTGGCGGCGCGCGCGCGGAGGACGCGGGCCGGGCTGGACCGCGGCGGCGGCGTGGCAAAGGGAGGCATGGCGCCACGCCACCCCCCTGCTTGGGGCGCAAGTTAGCCGGTACCGACAGTCTGCCGCACGGGCCGCGGAGCTGAGCGCTGAGCCCCGCGAGCCCCGGGCCGGCCCGGGCCGCCGTCACCGCCGTGTGTCAGCAGGTGCGCCGCGGCGCCGCGCTGCCTGTTTGTACACCTGGCAATATCGGCCACATCTGCGGGGGGCTCCGCTCCGTGCCGTCGTTGCCGCGGCACCCCACCCCGCCTGCTGCAGTCCGCTCCAGAACCAATAACTTGACTTTCTCGCCCGACGCAAAGCTTCCCCGCGTCTCACGATTTTTCCGACACCCGAGGTGAACATCCCAAGCTCGGATGCGCGGAAATCATTGTTTTATTTTCGATTTACGTCGCGCAGTGTGAGTAGCGAGTGCGGAACCCCCTCCCGCCCAATCGCACCTCGCGGGCCGCTCTCACGCCGCTCACCGCCACGCCGCAGTTCGGCGCGCGGTCGCGTTAAAATTCAAATGACAGAAGGAGCGCATACGCGAGTGTTATTGAAGCAGAAAGGTGGGGGGG